AAAGTTTGGCCAGTCTGTGCCTACACTGTAATAAGTACCTATCTTATCGTTACAACAACGATAGAGTTAAGTTTTATGCTCTTGTTCTGAGCTTTGTTCGCTTAATAAAAACAAGAGCCTCTATCTCAAACGATGATTGTCTCGACGCAAGTCAAACCTTTTCGCGGCAAGTCGGCTCCAAAGTGCATTTCTGTGTTAAAAATCGCCTCGCCACACTCCATTTTGCCTTTCTTTTATTTCTTGTACCAACGTTGCAACACTTGTCGTCGTAAGCGTCTAGAAATTTCTAGCTGTAGTACAATGTGTAAAAGACTTTTTTATTTTGCTAATAATACTTTCACAGGCCACGGAAACAAATTCTTCAGCAAATTTTTTATATCAACAGAATATTTAGTTTATTGTCTAAAAAAAATAACAGGCCATTGTAAACCCTTAGTATTCACAATAAACCTTGCCCCAAAGCCGATTAATTTCGCATTTAAATTACATGGGAATTTGCCACTTTTTGCAAATATTTTTTGTCTCTCGATCTTATTCTCTCGCAGCCATAACAATCATATATTCTTCTACAGAATTGAACGCTCTACAAAAAAGGTCTTTTACAATTTTTCGAGAAACCTACTACTTCTTTTGTGTTGTAATACACTTCCCTAATAAATTAACGCACCACAAAAAAATAACCAAAAGTTTAAGTTAAGTTTTTGTCAAAACCGCTTATCCTATTTAGACGATTTTTTTTGAATGATAGGTTATTCTTTCCACAATGTTGCTATACTAACTGTATTTTGATAGGAACCCTTTTTATACTAATACCGGGTGTAGCAATTATAACGTGTTTTTTAATAAAATTTGTGACACCCTGTAGAGTCGATCAGTTACAGTATCAAGGTATAATTGAAATCACATTTTAGCCTTATCTTTTTTTTACATTTTGTTTTTTTATTTACTCCATTATCTTCCTTATTACACGAGAAACAACATTTTATAGGATGACATGATTTAATATTGGTTTTAATTAACATTTTTCCATTTTACTCACTAAAGTAAGTAGCAGGCTATGGAAAAACACGGATTACCAGTAAATGTCAAATAGAGATGCTTGTTGTCAGTGTCGGTCGTTTTCGTCCTTTTATTATATCAAAAATATGCAACGTGCACGTGAAACAAGAAATCTTACTGGCGAAGAATGTGCTCAAGCATTAATATTGTGTGAGGAAGAATTGGAGAACGATTTAATGTAACTCACTCAACCATTTCACGAGTTATACAACGGTATAGAGATATTGGGAGTAATTGTCGCAGGCCAGGACAAGGCAGGAATCGAAGAACCAATCCGATTCAGGAACGTTTTTTAAAACTCTCAACATTAAGACAACGTTTCGTAACAGCTCGGACCCTTCAAACTCAGCTCAGAGATACTAATGCTCTACAAGTTTGCAAAGAAACTAGCATCTCTATTTGACATTTACTGGTAATCCGTGTTTTTCCATAGCCTGCGACTAACTTTAATGAGTAAAATGGAAAAATGTTAATTAAAACCAATATTAAATCATGTCTATAAAATGTTGTTTCTCGTGTAATAAGGAAGATAATGGAGTAAATAAAAAAACAAAATGTAAAAAAAAGATAAGGCTAAAATGTGATTTCAATTTTAACTTGATACTGTAACTGATCAACTCTACAGGGTGTCACAAATTAAACTTTTGGTTATTTTTTTGTGGTGCGTTAATTTATTGGGGAAGTGTAGATTAAATTTTTCAAAAATAATCATAATTTTGTCAAAAAAGTTGAAAAATTTAGGAATTTACCGAGTGGTTGAATTTAACCGTGAATAACTTTTGAAGTAGTAGGTTTATCGAAAAATTGTAAGAGACTTTTTTTGTAGAGCGTTCAATTTTGTAGATAAATATGTAATTGGCATTTGGCTGCCAGAGAACAAGATCCCTCTTCTATTCTCTCTCATCTTCTATTTTTTATTTTCAAAGTTGGCACACAACCCTATAGCTTAATCGTGTGTAATATTATTAAATATACAAGATATTCCCATTAAAAATTCTATTCACAATTCCCAAATAACCATAAAACACCGAATCACCTCCCAACAACAAAAACGAATATAAATAAAATACCTAATCAATTCATTACAAGACCCATTGTCTCTAGCCGATCCATCTCTCGCAGGTGATAGCCAGGGCTCGGTATATACATATATACACGTGCGCGCATAGACCAATATGTATATAGTACATATACACACGTATATATTCAAATTGGGGACCGCAGCATTGTTTCCTAGTTGGAACAAGTGAAGCGAGGGGGGTGATAGACGTGCCTAAGGGGAAACACGCGCTGTGTCGTCGTAAGAGAGGGATGGGGAGGAGGAGGGAGGAAAGGTCTAATTGTATTCGGCAGTCTGGAGCTTCGATACCCATTTGTTCGATATCGAGAACAATGGCTAATTGTTTCTTCTTAAAGGACGCGTGGTAAATTTCAATAAGTTAATGTAATATACGTACCTAAATAATAGCGATATAGAGAGAAGGTACGTTTATAAAAAGCTGCAAGCTCACAGAAAACTTACGTCTTTTTAGAGTTCCGTACCCAATGGCGGTCCGTCAGGTGAGGCAACTGAGGCGCCGCCTCACCTCGAAATTCTAGCCTTTAGTAGTACACAAATTAATTTCCAGCTAATCGTATATTTATATTATAGCAATATTAATATTGAATAATTTTATTAAAATATACCGAGCTTTTTACTTTTCGACCGGTCTAAACCAACCGATCGCGCCATATCTTTTCTGTTTTAACTGGACTACAATGCATCTTTTGGGCATCTTTTCGTTCTGCGTTCCTGAGGCGTAATTTTTGCCGCCTCTGCCGACCTTTTTTTATCAATGAAATAAAACGTCACACATTGAAATCAGTGGGTCGGGGAAGCGGAGGGAAAGCGTGAAATTAGCTGCTGCAGAGGCGACACCCAAATCGCCTAAGTGCAACGCTGTTGCCAGATTCATGAAAAAAAATCCATTCTTTACAAACTTGATTGTTAAGTTCAAAAACAGTTCGTGCTTGATATGGCTGGATAATACGATATTATAATGCTCTTTGTAATTAAAGTTAATCTATTAATTGATCTTCACGAAATACCCCATCAATAATTATGGAAATAATATCGTATATCGAAGAGAGTATAGAATAAATTTGAATAATATGAACTCTTGGCATCCACGCAATACTGTTCAAAATAATTAGGTAACTTTTTTGGTAACTTTAGATATTTCGGGGAATTACTAAACGTCACGTCTGTTCGGTCGGTTTGTTTTATGCTTTTGTGAGTAGCAAGTACTGTGATCTAACCGTAATTCAGAGTTTAGTGCTTTATTGTAATAATGAATGAATCATGTACATGACATTGTGATGTCCCTTCTAGAAACCCCGTTTTCCAGAAGACAGGAGGATGAAAAGCGAGAGGTCTTACAGGGAAACAGACCTACTCCCCAGATAAGTGTTATAACAAATGATAAAAAGACAAATTAACAATCCCGATTACAAGTGTTCAAGCCGAGCGGGATTTTTCTTGTCTAAAACGGATAAAATCTTACTTAAGAAATACAATGTTACAAGATAGATGTTCTGCTTTGTCTTTATTTTCAATTGAAAAGGAGCTGTTGGTTATCCTTAGTGACAACGAAGGGAAGTTTTATGATGACACAATTGAGAAATTTGCTATTCTTAAAGACAGACTTACCTACATGGAATAATTCTTATACAATTACATTTTTTAACTATTTTTTACTTGTTTGTTTCTTATTTATGTCGTCGCGTCGCGCGTCGTAGAGCTTGATGTGACAAATTACGTCTTACTAACCGAACGAAAACCTCAAATGAGAGCTGTTATATTACGATCATTAGATTAGTTAGCTAATACCTAATATATGTTTAAGTTATATTATTTATACTCTGAAGAAAAAAAAATAAAGAAACAGTTCCGATGATGACTTTTTTAATAAGTTATGCTTACAAACTTATTATATCTGAGGAGCAAAAAATCTCTAGCTTATTGTTGCTTAGCTGCTTAAAAAAACAAAAAGAAAATAAACACATAAAAACAAAAAAAAAGTTCTTATGACATTTTTAGTAGGTTAAACCTTCAAACATGTTATATCTGAGGAACAAAAAAAATTAAACTTGTTGCAGCTTAGTTAAGTCGTCAAAAAGTCGTCTATGATACATTTTTAACAGCAGCATTTTTTTCATACACCTAGTACAGTACACACCTATAGTCTTCTTAGTTCCTGAAATACAAAGCGAATTTTAAAATTGTCGACTATTCTTCGAATCTTGGTTTTAGTTGCGCTACTCAATTTTACTTGGAAATCTCTGTGGAGCTCGATTTTCACCTTTTCGATAAGTTATAATGGCCGAGATATGAGGGGAGTCGAAAAATGCAACAATTTCAATTTCGCCCTGTATTTCAGGAACTAAGAGGGCTAGGACAAATAATATGTGTGTACTATTTTTAGTTTCATAAAAAAGTAGCATAGTAATGTGAAAACCGCATCTTTGTACTTCTGCTCATAAATGAAAAACCCTGTAAAACACGCAAAAGTGGGACATCCTGTATAAAGTACCACAAAATTTAATTTAATTTAAGTTGTGTTTTTATGTTCATTATCCTTTTATGTTTATTTTTTATTGTTGATTATATTAGTTATTCTGAAAATAAACCGTTTTGTTTATGTTGTTATGTGGTTTTATTCTCATCTGTACTTACAGTAAATTAATAATATGATGACTTATTTTTTTGTTTGTCTCTATTGTTTGTATTTGTTGTCTATTTGTTGTCTATATTACAGTCTTTTTCGATAAATTTCGATAAAAAGGTAAATAATTGCAAAAATTTCCTTCTAGATTTACTACCTCTAAATAAATACCAGTAGATTATAAAATTTATTTTTTCTGTCATGGGGGTAAATGTCATTTTCTTTCTTTTTTTACAGATGATGTCAAAATTAAATCATCAAAACTCCCAACCCTCATCTCAAAAAAGCAACACAAAGGTATGTAAAAAAAATAAAATTTATTTAATATTTTATTTTTAAATTTCGTTTAATTATTCTCGAGCGAATAAAGGTACATAAAATTCGAGCAGAATATCCCGAATTGTTTTGAATTCGAATTTATAAAAGCGAATTATTATATAGAACGAATATACGTATACAGGTTTTATATTTATCCAGAGTTGTGCCTATACGGGCTTTTAAATTATTTATATCATTTATATTCCGCTGCATGTCGGCCAATCTATCGCCCGATGTAAAACCGTTTAATTATTATATTTTTTGTGGTTTTTTTCATTTCCCGAAATTCGGATTGATGCAGCTATCGCTCTATTTTATTTAATTTTAGGCTTGTAGAGAGCGGAATAAAAAGCTTTTTATTTATTGAGTTTTTTGCTGGGTTTGGACTTTTATAGCTCGCGGTAATACTGATTGTTTTACTGCATTTTAGTAAATTTAGTTAGGGTTTTTTTCTATATTTAGAATTTTTTAGGAAAAATATGTTATTTTTAGGAAATTTTTTGTTTTCTCCAGGGTCATTGAAGGGTGATTTTTTTTTAAATAAATATTATTATATTCTATTCATATGGAATATTACTTTTTGCTAATAATTTCTGAAGTTACGTCAATATTTGGATGATTGCTAGGTTACTAGGGACATTTACAAATCATGAAATAATTAATAATTTGTTACTTTCATTTATCCAGTAAATGACCTAATAAAAACTGTTTATTCTTTACAGTGGACTTCCATGATCCACCCAACTTATACGTTAGTAAAGGATAAGCCTGATTTATGGTTATAAAGTTGAATTGTCTAAACAATATAACAATATCTATTTCCTTCAGTGGGAGTAACTTTATTGCTTGTTTATGGTATAAAACCTTAATAAATTTTATACTCTCTTATACCATTCTCTAAGAATTTTCATATTTTCCTCCCCTATACACCAAAATATTCATATTTATCTGCAAACCTGCAAATCTGCATACCTGCAAACTACTTTAGGTTCTTCACCTTACTGCGAAACCACAAATTTAAGGAATATAAACCACAATTCACCTTATCACAAAATCTCTTCTTATAAACAACCATTTTTCTTCACAAAAGGCACAAAAATTCAATTAAAAATCCCCTATAAACCTGTATAACTTCCATCCGCAGGTCAAAGGGTATATTAGGGTAGTAAAAACAAATAGTTATAAAAATGTTCCTTAATAGGGTCTCCAAACCAAAATTTTTATTGCTAGTGGTCAACACGAAATTAGTAAACACCAACAAATTTTCCATAGTCTTCTCAGTTATTGCACAGCACGTACTGAAAAGTGCGCAAACCAAAATCCCTAATAAAACCGTTGTTTGGATTATAACTTCCATTGAAGTGAGGTTTTTATTCACGAAAGTCCCTAATAAAACTTGATACCTGCAGTGGTAAAGTCAAAGGGTACTATATTAGGGTGGTAAGGAGTCATTAGTTTATAACAATGGATCTTAAGTTCACTAAAAGGGTTATAGAAAGGTTCGGGGAATGGAGAAAGATCGAGTTTTATTGCTGTCTGGTAATTGATTTTGGTAACACAATATTGTGAGGGTCAGAGATTTTGATTTGATTTTTATTGTTGGGTCCAGGTTAAATTTCATCTTAAACGCTAGGTGGAGTATAAGCGATATTAATGACCTCAGTGATACCGGGTGCGTCTGAAAAGTGGCTCACCCCTATAACGTTTTATTTTTTCAGATAAAAAAACGAGATTTGGTACGTTAGTATATGACATAAATTAGGATTGATTGACGTATTCAACTGTTTTTCGTCACTTCCTGTTTAACCGGAATTTACTACAATTTTTGATTTTTAAATGGCACCCTTGGTAATTTTTACTTTATTCGATAGAAAATGACACTCTGAATAGAATGACGTATCATATGTCAACTTTTGATAGTTAAGCATATCGTTTATTTGAAATTGCAATTGAATACGTCAATCAATCCTAATTTATATGATATACTAACATACCAAATCTCGTTTTTTTTTATCTAAAGAATTAAAAAAGTTATAGGGGTGAGCCACTTTCGAAATGCACCCGGTATAACTTAGACTTGTCCCACAATTTAAAAGCAATTAAAAATTATATAAATAATACCATACGATAGAAAAAAAGCTCTTCCCGGTACATTGTGAAACAGGAAATTGTAGAGAGAAACAATCCCTATAACATAGGATACAACATTTTAATGAACAGTGCTTTCCATAAAAACAGTAAAATAAAAAATATACGAAATAATATAAATGTACTGATTTCTTTCGAAAATCGACAGCTATGAAACTATGAACTCTTCCCGGACACAAACGGTACATTGTGAAACAGGAAGTTGTAGAGAGAAACAAGCCCTATAACATAAGATACAACATTTTAATGAACAGTGTTTTCCATAAAATCAATAAAATGAAAAATATACGAAATAATTAAATGTACTGATTTCTTTCGAAAATCGACAGCTATGAAACTATGAACTCTTCCCGGACACAAACGGTACATTGTGAAACAGGAAGTTGTAGAGAGAAACAAGCCCTATAACATAAGATACAACATTTTAATGAACAGTGTTTTCCATAAAATCAATAAAATGAAAAATATACGAAATAATTAAATGTACTGATTTCTTTCGAAAATCGACAGCTATGAAACTATGAACTCTTCCCGGACACAAACGGTACATTGTGAAACAGGAAGTTGTAGAGAGAAACAAGCCCTATAACATAAGATACAACATTTTAATGAACAGTGTTTTCCATAAAATCAATAAAATGAAAAATATACGAAATAATATACATGTACTTATTTCTTTCGAATCGGACGTTATAACGATAATTTAAACAAAAATATTGGTCCCATTTTACTCTAGTTTATGAAAAATTATTGTTATAATCTGACATGAGCATTTTACTAAATAACTTGTCAAATAAACCGCGCTGGACGTCTTAAACAAACCATTTTTTAATTATATCGGCGTGCAACGTTGCCGTAACTAATTTTAATGGAGCGTAAAAAATGGCCGGGAACAACGAGCCCATTGTGTCGCTGGTAAAAGACCATTTAATGGGTCGTATTTTCATAGTCATTATGGGTCGCGTAGTTCGAGAAGTCCCAACTGATTATCGGCTAATTTTTTACAGCTTATTTTTTTCGGAGGGTTTATTACCTTTAAATATATTTAAAGAAACCTTATTTTCTATTTCTTATTTTCATATAATCGATTTTTTTTAACGAATAAAAAAATAAAACAAAATTAATAAAAAAAATATATAAAATTATTAATTATTAAAAAAAATTATGAATTATAAAATAAAATAAAAAAAAATAAATATTAAAAAAAATTGACAAAATTATTAATTAAAAAGTATCTATTTAAAAACAAGCTTTTATTTCAGAGGATTTAGATAATTCTTACTTCATAATGGTCAGTTAGTCTGATGATCAAATAGGCAATAGTCATATCTGAGGAAACTTTAAAATTAAAATGTCATTAAAAGAGAAAAAAAAAATAATCCAGGTGTTCCGTAGCTATTAAAATTAAAAAAAAAACTTTAAACAAGCTATCTACATTAATAAGCGTCCTAAAACAATGACAACCAGTCCTATTTACTATGCATAAAAGAACGCACGAGACTTCCTACATGGGATTAAAAGGGTATTAACTTATTTTAATATTTTTCTTTGTTATAGGTACCTACTGGACGACTAAAAGTTATAGAGCGTTCACAAAACAGCATTACTAAGAATTTTAACAAAGAATAACAATATTATTAATAACAGCATTGTTATTAATACGTTTGGTGTGCTGGTATTATCAACATAGAAATGCGTAGGACACTATACAGGGTGGAACAATTTCATGTTCAGTTTATTATAGTTGCTATAGAAATTCATATACAGTTTATTCAAAGAGTCAGAAAAGATTTCGATAGACACATTCACAAAAGGACAGAAAAACAATTTTTCTGTTAATTAAAATGACAGATAATAACTGTCATTCTCAATTATCATCTATTATTATCTATTTTTATCATCTGATTTTTTTTATCATACTTTTGAAACATTTGGTACAATAAGTGGGTCAGTTAAATTACAGACAAGGTATTACTTTTAAATATTTTTATATTATTTGGAACGTTTGAAATTGTTTAAAAAATTATTTGTGGCCTTTGAAAAAAATAGCATGTTCTATTCGGAGTAAAAATGATTTTTTGTGGCTCGCCTGTATGCTCATCAACCGTACAGCTTCGCCAAAGAAAGTGTAATTTTTACATAAAACAATATGCATTACGAAAAATTTATACAGGGTGAGTCTTAAATAAATGAAAATATTTTCAGGTCTGGAAGATCTTGATAAAAAAAACGTATCTTCTCTTTGCCATTTTACAAATAAGTAAAAAACAACAGAGACATTTAATATTTTGAAAATTTCAAAAAATTGATTTTTCGTTTAAATTTTGAGAACCACTGGCACTGGATCTTTTTTGGGTTTTCTTTCTTGTAAATTTAATCTACTCCCTATGTTGCCATATTATCAAAAAATTAGGTTTTTTAACTTAAAACAAAAAAAAAATATCCAAAAAAACTTTTAAAAAAAAATCAAATTTTCAAAAAAAAGCCTAGTAATTTTTTTAGTAACATAGCTTTTAAAAAATTCGTCTTCATTTGTTATAGTTTTTTTTATGCGATTAATAATAGGTACCCAGTCAGCAGACTTTTTGGAAAGGTGCTACAGGGTAGGCTCAGGGACAGTATTGGTGACAAAATCTCGGAAGACCAAAGCGGATTCACACCGGGGAAATCTTGCACAGATAACCTTTTTGTCCTGCAGCAGGTGATGGAAAAAAAGATAGCAGTAGATCAAGAAGTCCATCTAGCATTTATTGATTTGGAGAAAGCGTACGACTCTATTCCCCGCAGCAAGATATGGGAAGTCTTGAATATCTTAGAAGTAGATAGACCTT